GTCAAGACCTCGAGGAACTCCATGTCTGTGTGAATGAAGTTAAGAGGCAAACTTTTACATTTACATGAGAGCAGGAAGTAACTTCACTGTCAAAAAGTCTGAAGAAAAAAGGATACAGGTCTCTTCTCCAGTGCGGTTCTTAGGTGGTCCCGGCATGTTTAGCAGGACTAGTTTAGCTTCTTGTGACTTCTTCACAATGACCCCATTGAGTTTCTGCGCGTGGTGCATGCGTCTGACATTGGACTGATTCCTGTACAAAACACCAAATATGGCAAAGACTTTTTTGTGAGTGTGAGGTTTCTTTATATGACAACATATTTAGCATATTTCTACTTATCAGAGAGATATGAAGTGTTCATTCCTATGTGATAATTAAGTGCGTCATCTTTTAAAATAGTCAGAAGGTATCAAATGAAGTATTATTACTGTTATCTTTAAAGTGTACTCACAGGTTCTCCCATTCCCTGAGGCATAAGCAAAGGAAAATAACAGTGCACAACATAGTGAACAGAGAAATAAAGTAACACAGTACAAATTCGACCACATCTCAGTGACTTTAACCATTACTTCAAAGGTAAGGATGCGCCAACATTTTGTGCAGCAATATCTCAGCCGATTATTTAAAAACATTGGCATGTTGGATGTTTTTTATGCACGTTAGACAAATATCTTTAGCTTTTGTGTCATGTCTCACTGATTTTTTGTGTCAGGTGTCAAAAACGACACCTTTATTTTTAATCGAAAGTGAGCTAATCAACTGAAACGAATGCAAGTGCTCCAATAATAATAATGACGAAAGTGTTTCTGTTTCAGAGTAGAGTTTAACTTACATTACTGATGTTTGCTGCAAATATGCAAGAAACAAAATAGCTATATAATTACATAGTCATAAGGAAAAATGTTTTTACATAATATATACTGTATGTTTTTATTTATTTACTTTTATTTTAATAAAAATAAATAAAATATTAAATAAGAAATATTTTAAATAAGATGAAAATTATTTATAATTATTATTTAAATAAATTATTAAATTCGTA